AAAAAAAAAAAAAAAAAAAAAAAGTCTCTAGACCACCTAAATCGACCACCACTTTGAAGCAAAAAAACTCCGGTCAACCACTGCCGAAACCATCAGACCTCCATACCGCCGGATAGCTCTCACTCCCCTCTACACATACCATCCAATATCCGATTACCATGCCAACAAATTTGGTAGAAATTGCAAGCCATAATATCGAACTAGCAAATGCAAATTCAAGGCGGCACCACCTGTTCCAACAAGACTCATGTCATTCCCAACTTTCCAGTCAAATATACACACCAAGACGTCCCTATCCATGGTCCTCAAATATCATTTAATTCATGCAATCAAACCAAACAAGCTGCAGCTTCGAACACAGCCATTTCACTATTTGTCGGCGAATTTTTCTGCTCTGGTGGTGGGACCCATGATCGCGGACCACCACCTAAAGTACTTACTCCTCATGGCGCATCCAATGAGCATATGGGTCTTCACCAATTTTATCTGGACATGGCAGTTCATTCAAAAAGCTTAGAAAACGCAAAACCCTTCGATCCCATTTCAATTGGTGTTCCTCCACATCTACAATCAACAAATTGCTCCAACTAGAATATAATTCAAAGTGTAACGACTCTAGGTAGTGAATCAATTGTTGTAATTCACCATTCAAACGAAGTAATTCATGATTTTTGACCAACGGTGGAATGGGAGTGGGGGGTGAGGTGTGGAAAACGTGTTTTTAAAATTTTGGGCTGATTTGCACATGTGGAAAGTTTGGACTTATGGTTTCAATTTTTTTTCTTTTCTTTTTTTATTGTGTGTTTTGTTTAAATAGAAGGGTATTTGGGTCATTTTACGTCAAAAATGGTAAAAATGACGTTTAGCGCAAAGAAATGTGGAAATATGGGCAAAAATGTTAAAAAATGAAAGATAGAGACGTTTTCCATAATAAGCTTGAAAGGTAGGGACATTTTTTGCCATTACCCTTTTAAATTTATATAAAAACTTTTTTTTTAACTTTTAATTATTAATTTGGGGAGTTAATTATAGTTGCGATCGACCTACTTTGATCCAATTTTCAACTGGATCATTTTATTTTTATTTGTATCCATTGGAACATTGTATTTTAATTTTGTGTGAATGATTCACTACACTTATTATTATTATTATTATTATTATTATTATTATTATTATTATTATTATTATTATTATTATTATTATTATTATTATTATTATTATATCACAGTTCACTTTGCTCAATTCGAACACATTGTTTAACTATAGCCACTGACGTGGCTATAAAATATTAACTGTCAAACTACGTGACCGTAAAAAATAACTTGGAAGGAGTGATACAATCGAAAAACTTACAATTTGTGTCATTTTTTAGTCCCGTAAAACAAGTTTTTTAAATATATCATTTTTTATGGTTATGTAAGATGCGTGTTAGTATCTAATAAGTACATTGGTCTCATTCGTTAAATAATGTAAAGGAATTAAAGAATTGGTGTAAATTTAGATAAAATGAAGGTCTAGTGCTTAAAAGTTGTGAGGTGTATTAAATGTGTAATTAAAAATGAGTTCTAAGAATTGGAGTCTCAATTCTAGTAAAAATTTATAAATTGAAAGAATTCTTGATTGACTTGACTATATAAGTTGGTGGAGTTTATAGCACTACTACCACCGAAACGGTGGCCTATAACTTCAAGAACCCCATTTATGGAGGTGATCAAGGCTTGCACTAGGGGAGTTTAGATCTGCTGTTCAAAATTGGCTGTCCAACATGCTATTCGCCCAATGATTCATTTGCATGTCACTTAAAATTAACATGTTCAACTTTTCTCTCGTCGTTACTCGTGTATAAAGATAAGTGTAAAATGATGCGTAAATGAATTGTTAGGTGGATGGTAAATTGGATAGCCAATTTTGGATTGCGAATCTCAACTCAAGCTAGGAACTCAAAAAGAACACCTTCTTGTCTAATAAATGCATATTTTCCATAAGTTGAATAGAACATCTATGAGTAATCTGAGTAATCCAAAGACTCTCTCTAATATTTTAAGTGAAACTTTTAAAACATAAAATGGACAACTATTTGTAAAATGAAGTGAAAATGGGTGGCAAACTTGCAACGTGAAGTATCTATCTCGTGGAGCCTACAAACTAATAACACTAACATTATCCTATCTAGTATCTGCAAATCCCATGACTTGGAAAAATTTCTGGCTCAAATTCAGTGTCTAAATCCCGTGGATGAGAGTCACTACTTCCCTTTATTGAACTCGCAACTCTTCCAAAATGTTCCAAAGATCGCCTAAAATGTCGATGTTCAAGATGTAACAACTTAATCATTTTTCTCCGCCCGCCCTTTCTCTTGCTTGTAAGAATGACACGAGAGAGCGACCTGCCCAAATTGGCATAGCCTACTGGTTCTTCCTTCGCTTCGATTCCTTAAAGCAGGTCAGCCGGCCATCAAGCTATTATAACGATTCATTTTCTCAATCTTTACAGTCTTGAATTAACCTGAAATAGCTAAAATAGTGGTGGATGATTTCATAGTGTATTTGCTTCTAATTCTTGATCTCTGTGAAGTTTCAATTGCACATTAGTACATATTTGTATACTGGTATGAAATTATGGTGGGATCATCAGTCCTTCATCAGCCCAAGTTGTTGATTCCCACTCATAGGAATGGCCTAGAAATTGAATCGGATTCGAAGAGGGAACAAGACTGTATCTTCCTTCTGAAGAAATGCACTAGTGTGGAGGAATTGAAGCAAGTACATGCTCAAATTCTAAAGCTGGGATTGTTCTGTAAATCCTTTTGTGCCAGCAATCTTGTTTCCACTTGTGCTCTTTCAGAATGGGGCAGCATGGATTATGCGTGCTCGATATTTAAACATAGAGATGATCCGGATTCGTTTGATTTCAACACCATGATTAGAGGACATATCAAGCATATGAACCTAGAACAAGCTCTGTTTACATATCTTGAAATGCTCCATTCAGGAATAGAACCAGACAATTTCACATATCCTGCTCTTCTCAAGGCGTGCACTCGTTTATCTGCTGTGGATCAAGGTATGCAGATTCATGGGCAAATTTTCAAACTTGGGTTTGTGGATGACGTGTTTGTGCAAAACAGTTTAATAAACATGTACGGTAAATGTGGGGACATAAAGCGTTCTTGCGTCGTTTTTGAACAGATGGAGGATAGTCGAAAGACTATTGCTTCTTGGAGTTCAGTTATTTCAGCTTACGCTAGTACGGGCATGTGGTCCGAGTGTCTTAGGCTTTTCGGTGAAATGAATGAAATTGGTTTGAGGGCTGAGGAAAGTATATTGGTTAATGTCCTTTGTGCCTGCACTCATTTAGGGGCTCTTGACTTAGCTATGTGTACACATGGGTATTTATTGAGGAATTTAACTGGACTCAATGTTATAGTGGAAACAACCTTGATAGATGTATACATGAAATGCGGATTCCCTGATAGAGGCCTTCTTCTCTTCGAAAAAATGTCTGAGAGAAATCAGATGTCTCATAGTGTTGTAATATCCGGGCTGGCCATTCATGGACGCGCTCAAGAAGCTTTTAAGATCTTCGAGCAGATGATCGAGCAAGGACTAAAACCAGATGATGTTATCTATGTCGGAGTATTGAGTGCTTGTAACCATGCCGGTTTAGTTCAAGAGGGGTTCAAATATTTCGACAAGCTGAGATTTGAGCACCGGATACAACCAACAATTCAACATTTTGGTTGTATGGTCGACCTCATGGGTCGAGCTGGAATGATCGATGAAGCTATCGAGCTTATTAGGAGCATGCCGATGGAGCCAAATGATGTTTTGTGGCGCAGTCTTCTCAGTTCTTGCAAGATTCATCAGAATGTCGAATTAGGGGAATTTGCTGCTAAGAATCTCTTCCAGCTAAACTCGCGCAATGCAAGTGACTATATACTGATATCTAATATGTATGCGAAAGCTCAGAGATGGCACGATGTATCTATGACTCGGACTGAAATGGCCAACAAGGGATTAATAAATCAAGTGCCGGGATATAGCTTGGTCGAGGTGAAGAAGAAGATGTACAAGTTCGTGTCAAATGATACGTCACATTCGCAAGTATACGAGATGCTTCACCAAATGGAGTGGCAGTTAAAGTTTGAAGGCTATTCACCTGACACATCACGGGTCTTGCTTGATGTAGATGAAGATGAAAAGAGACAAAGATTGAGTTCTCATAGCCAAAAATTGGCAATTGCCTTTGCACTCATACATACATCTCACACGTCTCGGATTAGAATAGTACGAAATGTTAGAATGTGCAGCGATTGTCACACTTATACTAAACTCATCTCAACGATTTATGAACGAGAAATTATTGTCAGGGATCGGAATCGATTCCACCATTTTAAAGATGGAACTTGCTCTTGTGGAGACTACTGGTGAATATATATACATATTTCTTTCTTTAGAATATTATGGTCATCCTCCTCAGTGACGTTGAAGTATATTGAATTATTGAGAGCATCCATGGAAACTTAGAATCTTAGCACAAAATTATGGTAAGTAAATAATTATATTTTCTTGCTAGGATGAGGCATTCACTGCCACCATTCATCAAAGATAAATAAAGACCAAGTTATATGCTAACCCTTCGTTCCTTGTGTTACACGCACCTCTCTAATATGGCAATGAGAATGAGGGCTTCTTCAACAGCCAATGCTTTAAGACTTTCATCAGCTTCAAGGCCTCTTTTTTCTCCTACTGCCTTTTCACTCTCCAGATGCTTTACTACTGGTAAGTATTTATTCGATAAGCAATACTGAACGGGATTGGACACTGTCTAGTATTGTGTATCAGACATGCACTAATAGTAGTATAAATGTTGGGGTTAAAATATGCAACTTCACATGAATGGGTGAAGGGCGAGGGGTTTAGTGGCTACCATTGGCGTCACTAATCATGCTCAGGTCATTTCTTAGCTCTATGTTCAAAATTCGGTTTCAAAAAGGGCTATTTAAAATAGCATTATTCATAACCAACAAATACTTGTACAAATCAAGAAAAGGGTTCATTTGAAGTTCTTGAATTGATCGAAATATATATCATTATTAATATCAGGATTGCACGCGACGATATTGCAATGTGAGATTGAATTTTCATGGTTAAATTAGTATATTTATTATGTTAGAATATTTCTAATATGGACTTCACATTTGATTATTTATTTTATGAGTTAGATATATGGTTCATAATGATATTTGTGATTGAGCCAAATTTATTAAGTGATCAATTGGGTCTTTTACACCTTACGGGCTGTATTTAATATGATGTGATAGTTTTAAGTATGTGGATTGAAAATATATGAAAATCCTAATTAGTGGTTAAGTCGTAATGGGACGACTCAATAATTTTCTATATAAATGTTAGGTTCTCTTTCCTCTCCATATTGTTTTCATTAGTTTGTCTCATTGATGGCTAATACTTTGTGAGGAGTTAGGATGAAAAGATCAAACTGCTATTATTCATATCAATGATGACTTCCGTAGGTAGGACTTCGAAGCATTAATTTATAATTATGTGATTCTTGATTCTTAACATGATTATCATCAAATTTAACATATTATTGGTCGGAGTTGATTTTAAATAAAATGGTGAGACAGAATAATTGGATGTGTTCAGGACCATCTTGGAGAAGTATATGTTGAGCTCCCAGAGGCTGGTAAATCTGCCACACATGGCAATGGCTTTGGCTCAGTTGAAAGCGTAAAAGCCACAAGTAATGTTAATTCGCCCATCTCGGGTGAGATTGTTGAGGTCAACACAAAGTCAAGCGACAATCTTGAATAGGTAAGATGTTTTGTCGTGCTTAAAAGTTGTTTTTTCGAGTGCTACTAAAAAAAGCAACTAAAAACTATGTTCCTAGTGTGGCCTAACATGTGATAGTTGTGCTCGTTTTAATGCATATTTTAGTCCAAAAGGTTACCCATTTTCTTGTGGCTGAATTATTTGCAATGAAGATCAATTCGAAGCCCATATGAAGACGGAAGGATGATAGAGGTGAAGCCAAGCAATCCTTCAGAGTTAGAATCCTTAATGGAAGCAAAAGAATACACAAAATTTTGTGAAGAAGAAGATGGTTCTCATTGAAGCTTGAATGTGCTTTTTATACAATTTTAAGTAACTGGTTTGAACCCAGCTTAACGTCTTCCATTTTCAAATATTGTTTTCAATTATATTTAATGGGAAAAGGACTAAAAAGTAAGAACTCTGGCTAAGGGGTTATGTGACAAGAATTGTGTTATAGGTACAATACATTTGATAGTATTGTTGATAGCCCTCTCACATGTAGAGGGTGGGACTAGTGATTAAAATAATCACGAGCCCCACGTTTGTGAGAGGTTGTCAAACTGCTATACACTCACCATTTTCGATGTGACAAAGCTTTTTATAATAGTAATAGCAGGTTTTGATAAAATTTGATGAAATATATGATTAATAGTGATGAAGTTTATCAAGAATGCATAGTAAATGTGCAAACAACGTATAATCAATATGTAAGCCACAGTTTGACAATCATTATTTCAAAACTATTTTCTACAAATTTATTTTCAACTACATGATCACACAATAAAATATTCTGCATGTAACCCAAATTTTTTTCAAACTTTTTGAACACACATTCGCCAAAAAAACCACTATTCAAAATTTCATTTTACCAAAAAAAAAAAAAAAATGGTTGTGAAACTATGTATTTGAAGGAATGTAAGAAGTCATTTTTATAGTTACAATGTGACGAGTTTTTTTGAAAGAAACTCATAGCCTTATATAAATTGTAGGGTAATTTGCAAAAAAACGTCCCTATCGTTTGTACTCATTGCGAAAATGGTCCCTCTCATTTTGAACCTGCTATTTACACCCTCATTTCAAACCTTTCTTGTAGAATTGGTCATTTCCATCATATTCTGTTAAATATGTGTAATTTGATATAAAAGGTCCCTATTGTTTGCTGCAATTACGAAAATAGTCTCTATTATTTCAATTTTGACATTTGGATATTCACATCAACATTTATTTGCTTAAAAGGTCATTGCGTCCATTTTTTTCATTATAACATTATGAGATTACTAATTTATCATTATATTTAGATAACCAAATAGAAAATAGAAATAATATAAACAAATTGTATCTAAAGTCTCTAATTTTTTTTAAAAGTACAAACAAATCTCAGAAAAATAATTGAAACATTCTAATAAACAAAAATATTTCAGCTTCCCAATTAACCCACATACCCTATGCCCATCCCCTATACTCCACCACCACCACACAATTAATTAAAGAGATAATTAACTGTATAATAAAAGTAAAAAAAGAATTAAAATTATAAAAACAAAAAGGTATTTATAGTTGTAAAAGTTATTTATAGATATATTTAAAATTAAATATTAACAAAAAAATATTATAATTATAAATAAATAAATTACATGGAGTGACGGAGTGCCAAGCACTCCTTACACGGAGTGAAAGCTCTGTACATGGATCCGTGTTTTTTTTTAATTATAGTAATTTTTTATTAATATTTAATTTTAAAAATTAAATATATCTAAATATTTATTTTCACGTTAAACACTGACGGGTTTGACAATAGTAAATTATTACATTCGAATACACCGTAGCAATTTCTTCAAACGCCATTTCATTGTTATGCCACTTCCACTGCAATATTTCTCCATTGCTTTGAATCTGACACCCTTTCTCTATTTCTCACACTATCAACTATTAACCAATTTTATAATTTTATTAGTAATAATATTTTTTTAAATAATTTTCTCTATTGCTTTGAATCTAACACTCTTTCTCCATTTTCTCATGCTATCAACTATCTATAGTATCCTATAATTTTATTAGTAATAATATTTTTTGAAATAATTTTCTACATAAAAGTGATTCCTTTATTTTTAAATATCTACTTAAAAATTTAAGTTAATATTTTTTTACTTAGAAGTAGCTTTTACGATTATATCTTTCTTTTTTTTTTACTTTTAAATAACTTTAAACGATTTTTTTTACTTATATAAATAATTTTTACATTTTAGAAATAATTTTTGTCTTATTATTAGTATGTTTATTTTTTAATAATTTTTTAAATAAAAAGTGATTTTTTACTTATATAATAAAAGTGGTTCAACACGGAGTGGAGAGTTGAGAGTTGGTGACAGGTATGAAAAGTTGCGTGTTGCATTAGAAAGAACCGTCTCCCTATTCCAAAAAAAAAAAAATTAAACAAAAAAATATTAAAGTTTCTCCATACACGGAGAGATAGGTCTCTCATTTATTTATTTATTTTTTTATTTTTTATTTTTTGCAAATTTCATTTTGATAAACTTGTTAGTGTAAAATATATTAAATATATCTGCATATCTATTTAAAAATTTAATTCACTATTCTTTACTTATAAGTAGCTTTTACAATTATAATTTTTTTACTTTTAAATAACTTGAAATAATTTTTTGAGAAAATTGTCGAGAAAAAATCATAAACATTAATAAAAATAATTGATGTTTTAAAGAAAAAGACGAGTTATACGCATTTTTTAACATACACGTTTGATGTAAGTTTAACTATTTTCGATATTCATTTAGATCATTCAATGTGTCTATGATATAGTTCTCGAAATGAGTTCCGAAAGAATATAGAAAATTTATTGATTCGACTACCTTACAATCGTTAATGAATTTTTAAAGTTAGCTTGTTATTGAAATTCTTGAAATAATAGTTTGGAAATGTCTATTTTGACACCTCGTAATATTTTCTATGATTAGTCGTTTCGCGCATCATTGACGACGTGCAATACTATGCCGTAAGTATTTCAAAATGATATTAAGAATGTAATATTTCGATTTTGTTTGATATCTCGTAATGAGCCCAAAAATGAAAACAAAAAAAAAATAAAAATTTGTTTGAGAGTGGTTCCGTGCACGGAACAGGTTTGGAGCACAGAGCAATGTTTTGGAGAGATAGATCCTTCTGTTTTTTTAGCAAACTTCATTTAGATAAATTTGTTAGTGTAAAATATAGTAATAAATTTATCTACATATCTACTTAAAATTTTAATTTAAAATTTTTTACTTATAAATAGCTTTTATAATTATAAGTTTTTTAATTTTTAAATAACTTGAAGTAATTTTTTGAGAAAAATGTTGAGAAAAATAATAAACATTAATAAAATAATTGATTTTTTAAGAGAAAAGACGAGTTATGCATATTTTTTAGCACACACGTTTTATGTACGTTTAATTATTTTCGATATTCATTTAGATCATTCGATGTGTCTATGATATAGTTCTCGAAACAAGTTTCGAGAGAATATAGAAGATTTATTAATTCGACTACCGTACAATCATCGATGAATTTTTAAAATTAGTTTGTTATCGAAATTCTCGAAATAATAATTTGGAAATGCCTATTTTGACACCTCGTAACATTTTTTACGATTGTCCGTTTCGCGCATCATTAACGACGTGTAATATTATACCATGAGTACTTCAAAATGATATGAAGAATATAATATTTCGACTTCATTTAATATCCCATAATGAGCCCGAAAATAAAAACAAAAACATAAGTAAAAAATAATAATAATAAATAAATCAACCTTTGAGCAATGCTGCTCGGAGCAAACATTGCTCTGTGCACGGAGTAATGTTAGCTCCGTGCATGGAGCAATGCACATAATTTTTTTCCTTTTCTTTTCTTTTTTTAAACTTTTATTTATTGTAATCTTTTTATTAATATTTAATTTAAAAAATTAATTATATCTAAATATTTATACTTTAAAATTTTAAGTTAATATTTTTTTACTTATAAGTAGCTTTTACAATTATAAAAGAACGATGAATTAATATTTTTTTACATATAAGTAGCTTTTAAAAAAAAATTACACTTATAATTGTAAAAGCTACTTATAGATAAAAAAAAAATTAATCCCTCATTCTCTTATAATAGCAAAAGCTACTTATAAGTAACAAATATTAACTTACAAAATTTTTAAGTATAAATATTTAGATGTATTTATTTTTTAAATTAAATATTAATAAAAAGATTATACTATCTAGAATGTAAAAAGTTACTTATAAGTAAAAAAATATTAATTTAAAATTTTTTTAAGTACAAATATTTAGATAAATTTAGTTTTTTAAATTAAATATTAATAAAAAGATTATACTATCTAGAATGTAAAAAATTTCTTATAAGTAAAAAATCAGTTCAAGTTATTTGAAGTTAATAAAAAAAATCTATAATTGTAAAAGCTACTTATAGATAAAAAAATATTAACTTCAACATTTTTAAGTAAATATTTATATATATTTAATTTTTCAAAATCCAATTTTAATAAAAAATTACTATAAATAAAATTTTAAAAAATAAAAAATATAGGGACTCCACTCCATGCACGAAGTGATTTTTCACTCCATGCATGGAGTTCCTTTTTTTTTTTTTTTTTTTTTTTTTTTTTTTTTTTGGGAAAAAAAAAAAAAAAAAAAAAATATTTGTTTGACCTGCCGATGTGGGTAGGTGGGTAACATAATTTTTGCCCACCGTGAACAGGGAATAAATTTTAGCATAATGAAATGACATGCTGCAAAATTTATTAATTTTTTTATATTTAAAATTTTTTCTATTGTTGAAAGTAGAAATTACTTTTTTTTGCACAAAGCTTGATTGTTTATTTTTTTTCACATGCGTTTTCACATTCAACTGATTTGAAATGGATTTGGTCAAAGTAGATTAATTTTTTTTATTACATCATAACAAATAGAGAGTAATCTACCATCTATCACTCTTTCAAGTTACTCATTCTCCCTCCTTCAATTCAATTAATTTCTATCCAAAAATCCAGCTTTCATGTACGAAAAAAAAAACTCTCCAAATTCTTGTTCTTTCTATGGGGAAAAAAACGTCGCGTAGTCCTCATCTCAATCGTAGAAAAGAAAATTATAGAATTTGTGACGATTATCTTTGGGTACGTTCTTGCAAATTTATTATTATTATTTTTTATTTCCGTTTTTTAGTTTAAGGTATGTAGTTTTTATTTCAGTGTAGAGATGAAAATCTAGCATGGCTCATCTTTCTCTACCTAGATGTGAGGTATGTCATTGTCTCTATATATACGTGAAAATCTAATTGGAGTTTTATTTTTTTCTTGGATATGGCTATGAAATTTATGTTTTTGTTGGATGTTTGCTTTCTTGTAGATTTATTTTTTATTTTCTTCGGCTTTATTTAACGTA